TTCGAGTCGGAGGACGAGCTGTTCGAAGCGGTCGGGGAGCTCCTGCAGGACGTGTCCCGCGACTCCAAAGACGATGAGGACATCCGGGACGTCTGTCGCAGGATGTACGACGCGCTGCACATGTGCGTACCTGCGGCGGGGGGGTCGGCAGGGCCCGGGCGGGTGCTGCCTTCGCCCCCCGGCTGTGGCGGCGTCCCGGCCGGGCTGGGGAAGCAGGGCTGGTGCCCGGGCAGCTTCCCCATTGACCGCCGCGTGCGTTGCAGGGACGACGAGAAACCCCGGGGCTGCAACCAGGTGCTGCTGGACGCCCCCATTCAGCTCTCCCAGATCACGGACGGCTGTGGTGAGGAGGCTTCGCTGCGTTGGTGGGCTGCTCGCTGGCCTGTCTCCCGTGCGACCTGTCCCTTCCTGCAGGAGTCTTACTGGGGGTGGTGGGAGGGCTGGTGCCGCTGACGGGGCTCTGGAGGCTACTAGAGGTCCGTGAGGCCGCCAGACCCGGTGGCAAGAACCAGGGTAAGGATTTAGGTTCTGATGTCACCTCGGACGAGCCGTTTGGCCTCTGTCTTTCTCGGTGTTTGCACCTGCCGCGCCAGGCTATTGCTCCGCCTGCCAGCGAGTCGTGTGAATTCGTTGCCGTCTGGGCGGCACGGAGCCGGGAGCTGGGCCGAGCGCGAGGGTCCAGAACTCGCGCTGACGGACTTCCTGCTTGATTGCAGATGCGGGCGTGGACCTGTTACCAAAGCTGCTGCTGAAGAGAGACCAGACCTCGGTAAGGAGGTCTTACGCTGGTTTATTTTTACCTGGAAAAAACGATAGACGGTGTCGCACGTGATCCTGCACCCGTTACTGCTCCCCAGGCTGCAATAAACACTCGGAGCAGCAAACTGCCCCCTTTGCTTCACACCTTGTGAGAGCCCCTGCTTTCCCTCAATCCGTCCTGCTAGAGATCTTCTCTAGTCAGGTTGGGGGTCTTCTGTTAGGTCCATAACTACATGTTTCTGCTGCTTCCTCTGTGTCAAAGTTTCGGTTAACTTCAGGGACTGCTTGGACTGAATCTGGTAAATACAGTCACCCAGGGAACATTCTGCCTGTCAGCCTGTCATCCCAAGCAAAACAAAGGGGGAGATGATAGAGGATTTGATGGTTAAAGAATTAAATGGCAGGCAGGGAGTGATGTCCAACAATACGAACTTATAGATTCTGTTGAATTTAACATCGTGTCAGTTGATGAGGGGGTTGCCGGCCTGGTTGTAAGGAATAGTGGCAATGTGGCATGCTTGGACTTCTGCAGGGCATTTGGCTTCTTCCTGTAGGGCTTTGTGATTAAGCAGCCAGGCTGTTACGGACTCGTCAGCACGGCACAGACTGATTACAAGCTGCCCAACAAATATGTCTCCGTGTACGTGCAAACGGGGACTTGTAATGAAGCAGTTTTTTTGCAGTGAGCAGTTCTTAGTCTTTCACTACTTAACCTTCTTACCACTGACCTGGGGTAAAACCATAAGATTTTCCTTGTAGATGCCTTGGGTGGAGGGGACAGGCTCTCTGAAGAAGGATCTATATTGCCTGGCAGGCTGGGTGCAGTTGGTGTGACCAGATACTAGGTTACATTGTTTGGAAAATTGGCGGCAGTTTAACTATAATGGCTTTGCTTGAGGAAGGAATTGGTTTGGGGGAATCTTACAGCTGGTCAGGCAGATCAGCCTGGTCCCTCTGGTCCTTTGAGTCTGCACAGTGTTTCTGAGCCCCATCTTGGTTTGTTGACCACATAGTGCGAGTTCGGCTCAGGTTGCATGAAATTCTGGTCACCAGGGAAGTGGAGGAGCTGATGGAGGGAGAGGTGGGCTGTGGAGCGTGGGGAGAAGCGACTGGGACACTCAGAGCTCCTGAGGGATTGTGGTGTTTTATATGTGGGACAGAACGAACGGTTGCCAGATCATCTTCGTGGCACCCGCTGGCTAGCCTTGCCCATGGACCACTCCATTCCTGAGCAAATCCCCAGCTAGAGACGTTTCCCTGCAGTGAGCTTTAATTCTGTCTCGCCCCTTATGTCCTTGTGCCCCACCAAGTATTGCTCCTTCCTGGGAGCTCCCAGGCCTCTAGGATTTGTGTTCAGTACCTGGGCTGCTCCCTCCTGGACCCGTGCCTGAGGATGCCTGCAGGATTCTCGGTCTTCTCTAAACCCCTTCTTTGTGCCCCAGATGGTGAATGCCAAGAAGCTGCAGAAAGCTGAAGCCAGGCTGAAGGCTAAGCAGGACAAGAGGTTGGAGAAGGATACCCTGAAGTCCAGTAACCCGCTGTGAGTGTGCAGGGTGCGCCCCAGGGCAGGCCAGGGTTTTAGTCGCTCAGGTCCATGTGGTGTGGGGGAGGAGAGGTTGACTTGCCCAAAGGCTTTTCCCTTCCATGAAACCTGGTCCTCCTCCTCTGGTGCCAGGGTCCTGGAGGAGGCGTCTGCCAGCCAAGCCGCCAGCAAGAAGGAAACACGCATGGAGTCGTCGGGCAAGAACAAGTCATATGATGTGCGCATTGAGAACTTCGATGTGTCCTTCGGTGAGCGGTGAGTCCTTGGGAGGCTGGGGAACATGGGACGAGGACGGGCAGAGATGCCCTAGTGGGAGCCTGGAAATACCCTGGTTTGAGGGAGGCAATGGGACAGGCTTGAGGGGCAGGGCAGGGGTGTGTTGCCTTCGTAGCACTGTCCTGAGCAGTGAGCTAACTCCCGTCCGCCCATGAAGTCTGGAGGCTGCTGCTGAGCAGACGCCTGGCTCTTCCCTTTGCATAGGGTGCTGCTAGCAGGCTCAGACCTGAACCTGGCATTTGGCCGGCGCTATGGACTGGTGGGCAGGAATGGGCTGGGCAAGACTACCCTGCTGAAGATGATCGCCAGCCGGAGCCTGCGCATCCCCTCACACATCCGCATCCTGCACGTGGAGCAGGAGGTGGCGGGGGATGACACGCCGGCGCTGCAGAGCGTGCTGGAGTGCGACCTCATGCGGGAGGGCCTGCTGCGCGAGGAGAAGGAGCTGACGGCTAGGGTCAATGCCGGCAGGTGAGAAGTTGCTAACCCGCTTGTCTCATGCAAGCTGGTGCTTGTCCTGCTACAGGAGGCTGGTCATATGGATGCTGGGTTTTGTGTCCACAAGGAACTTGGTCCCATTGTCTGTCCCGCTGCCTTGCCATTGCCAGTCTCTGGGAGTGTCCCATGCTAAAACTCTGGTCCAAATGGACTTTGCCCCCCAGTGCCACTGAGAGGGACCCACAGGTGTCCTCACTCCTGGCCTGAGGAGGCCGACTATACCCTGTCTCTGCAGGGAGCCCTCATGCCACTCTTGCATCTTGTTCCAGGGCAGAGGGAACAGAAGTTGCCAGACTTTCAGAAATCTATGCCAAGCTGGAGGAGATCGAAGCAGACAAGGCGCCAGCAAGGTAAGGCCCGTCTCCCCCTCTGCTCCGGGCACAGGGGCTGCCAGTTTGCCATGAACTTGCCACAGAGAGCTTAGGAAGCGATGGGTGATTGGGCTGGAGGAAGTGTTAGGGTTTGGGGCAGGGTTCCGGGGCTGGGTTGTCCCTCTGTCCTTGTGCAATCCACATAAGGGCTGCTTCCCTCCCTGGATTACTGCCTGCTGGGGCAGATAGGGTCTGGAGTAGCTGGGAGTTCCCGAGAACTTGGGCAGCCAGAATTCCTGACACTCAGCTGATTTGAGCTAATGCTGCTCCACTGAGCCTGGGAGCTTCCCATCCTCTGGCTGTCTTGTAAGTAGCTGAGGGAATGTTTCCAGGCCAGAAGATGATGGAGACTGGCCTGAAAGCCAGGGCTGTACCTCTCTGTGGACCGGCACCTGCTTTCAGTGCTCCCATGTGTAGCTGTCAGGGCTATGGATAAATGGGTGCCTTGCTAGGGAGCTGGTGCTGCCCGTGGGCAGGGGATGTTTAGAACGTGCTGTAGGGTGCACAGCAGTTTCCACTGTGGTCCTTGGGATCTTGGTGCTAGTCCTGAGGGGACTTCAGGTGCGTTTCTTTCTCTCCTACATAGGGCATCTGTCATTCTTGCTGGGCTGGGCTTCAGTGCGAAGATGCAGCAGCAGACGACCAAGTAAGTGTCCTGCCCCACGCCTTGCATTGGAGATGCCTCTCTAAATTCCTGTGCAGTGCAGGCCCCATGCACAGAGCTGCCTACTTCCTAGCGACAAGCACCAGGCATAGCCAGGGCTCTGCGGGGCACTGGCACGGGCAGGGACTGCTTGTAACTTCAGCTGAGGAAGAGGTGCCTCTTGGTTCCTTTTCTTCTGATGTAGGCTGCTGTCCTGGGGCGTCAGGCTATGGGGCCCTGCTTGGAGCCAGCCCAACACCATGTGCTGTTGCTCTGGAGCTGTGGCTGCTCGCAAGCCTGGCAAACTTGGACTGCCCCCTGTCCTCTCTCACGGCCAGGCTCAACTGTAGTGTTAAGCTGCCTCTGGGGGACAGCAGAGCTACAAGGGTACCTGCTCCCAGGGAGCACCCTTGGCATCTCTCAGCTGTTGAGGGTCTAACAACAGGGGGCTCCGTGGGTGAGGAGTGATTGTGGGCCAACACAGCAGTGCAGGGCTAACACCTCTTGGATTTGGTTTTGTCTCTACCCAGAGAGTTTTCAGGAGGCTGGAGAATGAGGTTGGCCTTGGCCAGAGCCCTTTTTGCCAGGTAGGTCTCCAAACAGTGCTGTCCGGGTTGATGTTGCGTTTGGTTCTCTGTCCAAGGAAGTGTGAAGGGGCGGGTGACTGCAGAAGCGGCCTAATGGGCTGCTTTGGGGTGAGCTCAGGCTGGTGCACAGGCAAGAGGCACTCTCGGCTAAGGGGCAGGAGAGCTGGCTGTGGGAGGAGCTCCCAGCTGCCGCCAACAGGGCACCCACAGGGTGCACAGGCTGTGGGGCAGGCTCTGCAGCCGGGGGTGAGAGTGGCAGTGAGAGTTGCAGCACCACTGCTCAGGCCTGGAGACCCGCCCTGAGTACTAACACTGCTTTTTCCCTGTCTTTCTCTCAGGCCGGATCTTCTTCTGCTTGATGGTAAGTTCATGCCCCGAGTCCTTTCTCATCCCTGAGTGGAGCCCAGGGTTGCCTTGACTATCCTTGGTTTAGGCATTGGAGACCCAGCAGGAGTTTTGGCTGCCTATGTGGGCTAAACAGCCAGGGTGTCTCTGGCCAGGCGCAGGCACAGGAGGACGGTGGTGACGGAGTGGGAGAGGGAGATCTGCATGCACTGCTCTCCCAAGAGCTTAGAGGTTGGGTGAGGAGCCTCACTGGGTTGTTGTCCTGCCCCCCACCCATCCCACTGGTGCCTTCCACATGGAGGATGGTCAGCTCTGGGGACAGCTGATCGCTGAGCCTCAGGGCCTACAAAGCCCTGACGTGGCCCCAGCACAGCATTTCTCTCCTGCAAACAATCCCTTTTTTAATGGCTCCGAGCAGTGGAGAAGCAGCTGGGGGCAGTTAGTGAACTTTTCCCTGCGGGGAGTAGGGATTTTGCCCTGACTTGTACCCTGCTTTCTTGGGCCCAGGTATACACTTTTTGCATGCCACCGCTGTGTTGGGGCCTTGTGGGGGTGGGTATAATGGTGCAGGGGGTAAGTGCCCGCTGTACTGTGGGGCTGGCTCCTGTGTTCCCCCTGCACCTGGGATTCTTGCCCAGTAGGAGTTGCACATGGGAGGTCCCTCCCTCCTTTGAGTTCTCCAAGAGGTGCCTCTAGGCTGGTCGAAAGGCTCTGGTGGCTATTCCAGGCCTTGCAGAAGGTGTGATGCCTGCTCTGGTATCTGCAGGTGCCAGCTTCCCACCGCCAGTTTACCTATCATTTTATCTTGTCCAGAACTGGGCTACGAGCCCTTCAGGGCAGGGACTCTCTGTACAACCCTAAGCACTTGGGCTGTATCCAACCATCACCTCTGGACCCTGCATTAATAGAAATGCTGGTGGAGCTGGCTCCTCTTCCCAGTGCTCCTACATGGAGCAGTTCTCAGTAAGAACATCACGAGTCACCCTGGTCTGGCCCATTTCTGTCCTGATGTCTTTTTTCATTCCCTTCAGAGCCAACTAACATGCTGGATGTGAGAGCCATTCTGTGGCTGGAGAACTACCTGCAGGTAGGTAAGGGTGGCTGAGGGCAGTAGACCTTGAGGGAGTGTCCAGAACAGTTGAGGGAAGCTCCCCTGGTATTGTGATACAGATTTGGAAAGAAGACTTCTCTTGATTGCCCATGGCTTGATGTCAGGTGTGGGGATATGTGCTCCACAATGCTAGCCTAGAGTCTTCCGTCACGTAGGCAAGGCTGACACGTCCTGATGCAGGCTTAACATGTGTCCTGACACAGGTTTTCCCTTTTGCTCTCTTGTTCAGACATGGCAGTCCACCATCCTTGTGGTGTCCCACGACAGGAACTTCCTCAACGCCGTGGCCACCGACATCATCCACCTGCATTCACAGCGGCTGAACGCTTACCGGGGCGACTTCGAGAACTTCATGAAGATCAAGGAGGAGAGACTGAAGAACCAGCAGCGCGAGTACGAGGCCCAGCAGCAGTACCGCGAGCACATCCAGGTACAGGGCAGGCACCCTGGTACTAGCAGGGAGTGGGGGGAAGCGTACGCACATTATGGGAGAAACATGGCTCCGTGTCACTCTGGGATCCCCTCTGGAGGTGCTGAGGGACTCATTCATGTGCAGCACTGCTTTCGGGGCTGGGTGGCAGTGGAGGGGGCTCCTTAGCATGGAAGACAGCTGGTATCACTGGCCTGCTTCCCTACTGATGGCCATGGGATTGTGACCTGTTCCTCAGTCTTGCCCCTGCACCCTCCGCGTCCAAGGGAAGGTCTAGCCCTCAGTAGTGCTCCCACTGTAGGATAGGCAGAATAATGGAGCATCGGGGTGGCGGGGACAGGAAGTAATACCCCCAGACAGGGCCTGAGGGACTCTGATCTTCTCTCCTAGGTCTTCATAGATCGATTTCGCTACAATGCAAACCGGGCGTCTCAAGTGCAGAGCAAACTCAAGCTGCTGGAGAAGCTGTGAGTGCCTGGCCCTGCCCCTCCCTATGGCTTGTGAGGGAGGAGGGGAAGCAGCACTGTTGTGTTGGGCTGCACTGCTCATGGCTGAGAGGGAGGCAGGGAAAGGACTGGAAAGTCAAGCCGTGCCACAGGTTTGGTTGAGGGGAGGGTGGGTGAAGAAGATGGCTCCACCCCAGTCTTGGAGGGGGTCTAGGGCAGACGGGGTTTGAGGAGTTCCCAGTTGGTCTGTCTGGAGGGTGCTGGGGTCTACAGGTCGGTGGTCTCTTGGCTCCTGTTTGGGAGGACACCTGACCCACATGACCACCATTCCATGGCTCTATTTTCATGCTGCATGCAGCTTGATCCCTGGCATCGCTGTCCTTTCATCTGGGACAGCTGTGTGGGCCTGGCTGTACTCTAACTGGCCTGGGGAGTCTCCGAGGGGCCTCTGTCCCCGTGACACCCCCAGTCTGAGGTTGCTGTGAGTGGTGGGGTGTGGCATGCCATGTCCTGGTTCAGGACACTGAGCGATGAATACTCTTTTTTTTTTGTCCTTCTCCCAGGCCAGAGCTGAAAGCAGTGGACAAGGAGTCGGAGGTGATCATGAAGTAAGTGTCCCTGAGCCCTCTCGCTAGGGGCAGACAGGCTAGGCTCCTGTGGTGCCTGTGGAGAGTGGGCAGCCTGAGACCCACTGTCCCTTCCCTCCACTGGTTCTGCCACTTGGAACGAGCTCCTTTAAACATGGATCAAAGGTGCTGCTAAGGCTGCAGTAGCTGCTGCCATGCTCTGGGGTTGGTCCCTCTCTGTGGTGTTGGGCTGGGGCGGGCAGCCAGAGCACCTAATGGTGCTGTTTCCTTGGCATGTTCACATTGGTTCGAACCTGAGGGCTCAGGTGTGGGTGGCTGGGAGGCGGGTCAGGTCCTGCGGTGAGGGCAGCTCTGCAGTTACCCCACTGGGTGTCCTACGGGGAGGAGGTTAGCAGCTGCAGTCTCCCTTCTTCCTCTGCTGCTCCTTGCAGTGTGTGGTGATCCCTTTGTTTGGGACATGGCTGAGCTCTCGTCTTCTGGGCCACCCTCTCCACCCAACCACAGGTTCCCCGATGGCTTTGAAAAGTTCTCTCCCCCAATCCTGCAGTTGGACGAAGTGGATTTCTACTATGACTCAAATAACTACATCTTCCGTGGCCTCTCTGTCTCGGCTGACCTGGAATCCCGGATCTGTGTGGTATGTACCGCACACCTGGCTGGAATGGGGCAGTGGGAAGATGCTCCACAAAGGTCCTGCCAGATGCTAGAGTTGGGCTCTAGCGTATGAATGCCATGCGAGGATATTGGAGCTGAGGGGAGTCCCCCTTCTGTTGGCCCCTGGCCACCTCCACTGCTGCCCTAGTAATGGGGGACAAGTGACTGGATCTTCCATCCCCCAAAATGCAACCCAGTCTTGGGGAGAAGAGGAATCCTCTGGGCTCTGGGACCCCAGATCTGTCCCTATGGGAGTTCTCAACTGTGGCTTCTCTCTCAAGGTTGGGGAGAACGGAGCTGGGAAGTCAACCATGCTAAAGATCCTGATGGGAGACCTGGCTCCAGTCAGAGGGATCAGACACGCGCACAGGTATGTCTTGTAGGGGAGGGGCAGTGGGAGATGGGCTGAAGGAGATTGCTGATTTGTTGGAGGGGGGTATGGGTTTCCACTGTTGAATGGGTTCCTACAGAGTCTCCTCTCTTGTGCCCTGGGGTCAACTCATAGAACCGCGGTGGTCTGGGAAACCCGCCTCTAACCTGCTCCCCTGTTACCAGTGGCCCCAAGGTCCAGGCTGTGTCCAGAGCAGTCTGAGCCCTGGGGAAGTTGTTGTTTTCCCCCCCCCCCCACCACCACCACTATCCCCCCCGCACACACACTCTGTCTCTCTCTTTTCTGCTGCACCCTCCCTCTGGCCTTGGCAGAGGCTGCAGGAGCCTTCGGCATTGTGATCTCTAATGGTTGCTTTTCTCTGGCTTGGAAGGAACCTGAAGATTGGCTACTTCAGTCAGCACCATGTAGACCAGCTGGACTTGAACATCAGTGCTGTAGAGCTACTGGCAAAGAAGTTCCCAGGTGAGCGCCGGCAGTTTCCAGGGCTGTTAATTCTAGGCCAGTCGGGAGCTCAGCTGCCTTTGGTCTTTTGCTGTCTGGGCCAAGTAGGACCGGGTGTTGCATTGCTGAGTCTCTCGCCTGGCCCTCAGCAGTTCCTTTGGCTAATCCAGGAGCAGCAGTGATGAACTCCGACTTTAGGAAGGGCACGTCAGGGGCTGCTGCCTGGAGAACTCCTGCAGTGCTCTGGGAGCACCCTTGCCAAATTTCCCTACTAACATGCTCCCCTGTGAAGCGGTTGATTCTAGGGACCAAGAGCTCCGAGCTGTGTCTTGGAGATGCCTCAAGTGGAGGCTTGCAGGTCCCTTGATCCGTGGCTTTCCCTTGCGAGCGCCACAGGGCTGAGAGTCTGCAGCCAGCCTGCAATGAGCCCTGTGCAGCAAACAGCCCCAGCCCTCCTGGTGAGGCAGTAAGTTCTCATTGGGGTTCTGACTTAAGCACCAGCTCTGCAGGCGGTGTAGCTGGCTGCTAGACCAGCAAAACCTTGGCGACCCCCATCTTTTCCCTCCTCGTCATTCCCAGCTGCCAAAGTCACCAGCTTCCTCCTGCTCTGTAATCTCACATTATATAAATCCCTGGCATTGCATTTAGGGACAGCGTCACTTGAATTCAATCACAGTCAAGTCCCCTGGAGCCCCTGTCCTCATTGTGTCACTCAGGTTCCTAGTGCAGCCTCCATTTGTGTGGTTCCTTGAAGCCCTGCCTCACTCGAGAGCCATGGTACACGAGGATCCTGGCACAAGACCTTGGTCCAGCTTGCTGCCGAGCACAAAGAGCTCAGTGTAACTTGGAGTGGGCCAGCAGCTCTGCGCCAGTGTCCTGGGTGCTAATGCCAACAGGCTGAGGCTGTGTTGTGACACGCTGCCTCTGTGCTCTTCCAGGGAAGACAGAGGAGGAGTATCGTCACCAGCTGGGAAGCTACGGTGTCTCAGGGGAGCTGGCCGTCCGCCCCGTTGCTAGCCTGTCTGGAGGTCAGAAGAGCCGTGTAGCATTTGCCCAGATGACCATGCTCTGGTAAGCCTCCAGGTTCTGTCCTGCTGTTTGCTGGCTGTGTCCCACACTCAGGAGCACCTAGAGAGCCTGAAGCTGGGCAGTGTGGCTGTTTGACCAGCACCTTGACCAGAGAGGATCCCCTGTGGGGCCTCTTGAGATGTGGCTGCTTCTTGCTGTCATAGCAGCAAGACCCCCCAGGATCCTCCTCCCAGCATTAGCCCATGCTGTCTGGCACTGCTGGCTGGGGTAGATCATTTTGGACAGCCCTGCAGAGGGTGGCTGCACTGCTGGGCATCCCCCAGTGGAATACCGAGATACTGACTTTTTTTTTTTTTTTTTTTCCCCTCCCCCAACTTTCACCTCTTCCAGTCCCAACTTCTATATCCTGGATGAGCCGACAAACCACCTAGACATGGAGACCATCGAGGCCCTGGCGAAAGCGCTGAATAAATTTCGGGTAAGGTTCCCTGAGCCGCAGACTGGGACAGGCGGGAGGTCTTGCTTCTGTGGCATGCACTGTCCTGCCTTGTGCTCTTGTACCCCCCTTACCCCAGAGCAAGGCTTGGGTGGCTTCCCAACCATGGTGGGCAGCAGAGAGGGGTGCCCTTCTGCTTTAGCTCCACATTGCCTGTCAGGGGCTGGCTGTCAGCTTCTCCTTGGACGTGGCTGACACAGGCTCAAGCTGGCCAAAGAGCCTCAGCTCAGTCAGTGCATCTCCACCCTGACCCAGCTCCCAGCACTGCTGTGCCAGTGCCAGGTGTGCCGAGCATAGGGGTTCTGATGTGGAGAAGCTCCGTTTTGGAGGCCTTGAATACAGGCGTCTCGCATTGAGTAACACAGTTTGGCTGGGCAGCTTGGACCTCCCTTCGGAAGAGAAGCTGCTGCTGGTGCAGACAAAGTTGAGGCAGGTGGTGGCTGGGCTGTGACCTGAATTTGGGTGGTTAGTGACACACTAGCCTTAATCCCAAGGGTGTGGAGTGCAGTGCCAGCAAACCGCATTTTCACAGTGTCATGGGGAAGTTGGGCTGGAAAGGACTTCAGGAGGGCATCATCTAGTCCAGTGGTTCTCAGCCTTTTTTGTACCAGGACCCATTTGGTTAATGCCTCTTGCTCCTGACCCTGCTGCCCCCAGTATGTGGGGCTGGGGGGGGGCCAAGCAGCCCCTTGCAAGCTGGAACTCTACCAGCCTGCAAGGGGAAAGCCGTGGTTTCCCGTGTCTTTCTCCTTCAAAGGAGAATCCATTCTTAAAGTTTGTTCACAACCTTTTCATATATTCTTGCGACCCACAGGTTGAGAAACGCTGATCTAGTCCACCCCCTGCCTGAGACCGGCTCAGCTCTATCTAGCCCGTCCCGTACAAATCCTTGTCTCGCCTGCTACTGAAATGACGCAGGCGACCCTGTCACAACCACAAAGCATAGCACCCCCACCTGAAACCATGGTAGCCAATGCCCTGCTGTTGCAGGGGGTGTTAAAATACCCCCGAGAGATCCCAGGAAGAGGTCACACCCCTTGCTGCAGAAGAAAGCAAACACCACCCCTCCCCGCACCCCTTCAGTCTGACCAGAGGGTAAACTTCCTTCCCGACCCCCAATAATGTTGGTCTGACCTGGAATGGAGGGGCAAGGCCCTCTACCCAGGAACATCAGGCGTTGCTCCCAGCAGGAACATGGCTGTAGCGCAGTCACAGGCCCCAGCCTTAGCTGCGGGCATCACTCAAAGCCTCTGGGGGAGGAGGGGAGGGAACCCTGATGGTTCCTTGCTGCCTCCCTTGATTATCTCTGCCCCTTGCACCCGAGAGCAAAGGAGAGCGTTTTGGGCCATGCTAGAACGGGTTGGGGGTGTCTACTTTTGGCCTTGTCCTTACTGTCTTGTCCCACACAAAGCTGGACTGAGCGCCGCCCCCATCCTTCAGCTCATGGAGCAGCCCACCGGGCGCTGCATGCTGTGATCTGCAGACTCCGTGAGCCAAAGGGCCAAGCGCTGTGCTTTGCCACTGCTTTTAGTAACCCTGCGAGTCTGCTGCTCTAGGCCGGGAGATGCAGAAATGCCGTGGCCCCCGCCGCGCTGCCACGACATAAATACCGTGTCAAGGTGTGCTGCGCCTGGGGCTCCTGGCTCAAGCCCTTTCTCTCCGTCCCAGGGCGGCGTGATCCTGGTGTCCCACGACGAGCGCTTCATCCGCCTGCTGTGCCAAGAGCTGTGGGTGTGCGAGAAGGCGACGGTGACGCGCATTGAGGGCGGCTTCGACGAGTACAGGGACATCCTGCAGGAGCAGTTCCGGAAGGAGGGCTTCCTATAGGGGAGGCACCGGACTGCGGGCGCTGGCTGGCGCGGGCTGTCCTCCCCGCCGCGTGCCTGGTGGAGCAGCAGCGATGCCCAGCTCCACCCATGGACTGCCGGCTCCGCCATCTCCATTCCTTCCCACTGGAGCTGCAGAGGCACCGGTGGGGTGGGGGTGGGGGCCTGCTTTTGCCTCTCGAGCTGCACCCGGCCTCTGCCACGCAGGGGTGAAAGGACACCTGGGCTGGGGGCGTCACTCACTACGTGTCCCTGGCCTGGCGCTGCCACGTGTCGCACCTTGAGTTGCTGCTGAAAAGAGGGGAAGGAGCCGAGCCCCCCAGTTTGGACTTGGTGGGGGAGACCTCTCGCCCCCTCGGCAGAGGAGCTGCTGCCTCTTCAGCCATGTTTATCTGCCAAACACGAGTCAGCCCCTCCTCGGAGCACGCTTCTGTCCTGGCTTGGCCTTGCCCTACTGCTCCCTTCCCGTGCTGGGGCGGCGGAGCCCCCTGCCTCTCCCCCCGTTTCAGGGAAGCGATGCGGAGAGGGCTCGTGCCCCTTGCCCGAGAGGCGGTACCGCACCCCGCTGCCCCCGCACCGGCCCAGGTCCCC